ACACTTTGAAAATTCAGCATTCGCCTCGCTGTAATGAGGATAATAGTTCACCAATTCTATGAACTTGACAGCATATTCAGTCACCGACAATTCTCCCTGTTTCAGTTCCAGAAATTCAATTTCTTTCTTCCCGCGGACATCTTCTGGGTAACACTTTATCAGGAACTCCCTGTGAAATACATCCCAAGTAATAGCCTCACCTACACCGTCCAGTCTATGACGAGTGGTAACCCACCATTCATCTGCCTCTCCCTCCAGCATATGTGTACCAAAATGCACTTTATGAGCCTCAAAATAGTCCAAAATACGAGATCCATCATTCCCGCCGCTATTAGGCTGATGTTTCACAGCTTGGGCCAAAGCCTACAAAGTAGCAGCAAGTGGAGTATCATTTCTTCCAGCCATTACTATGTTTCATAGCATAACATCAAACATGGGTTAGAAAGAAACACATCAACAATATTCAACTATCATACTATACTACTGACTCAACAACCTGGCCGAACGGACCTACCTGCTCTGATACCAATTGTAACACCCCACTTTCCCATAATAATAATTATAACATAATCTACAGAATACATATATCAGTGTACGCAAGTAGAATGTCACATCTTTCAAAATTCATAAAGTCTCACGTCACTTTATTACTTCATTTATTCAAAATAATTAATTCGGCAGTGGAATAATCAAAATAGTTCATTTCCATGGCATTAAAGCCTCAACAGTAATAAAAACTCCACAACATGTGGTCCAGCATCAATATAAAAGTAAGATACGTAAAAAATGAAATCATTCAAAAATATAACAAATTCCAAATAATCATGTGTTACGTATCAAAGCGACTCCTAAGACTCGATCAAGTAACACTCTCTCCAAGCACTACTCGGGTACCTAGTTATTTGTACTCCCTGAAGCACAGACACAACAACACAAAAGGGGTGAGAATTATATTCAATAAATATATGGTGAATGTCACATGCTAAGGAGTAGTAATTCACACAATTCACACAATGCACATTTCACACAATACTTCACAACACATTCTTCCTTCATATAACACAATATCAAATCAAGATAGTGCAATGCAATGCAATCGACAACAACTAAATGCATGTGGTACCAACAGGGCATGAGCCCCCAACGTAATGCCATATTTGGGCAATTAACAGGGTATAAGCCCTAAATATAACGCCATTACAGGCCAACAATAGGACATAAGCCCTCACCAACAAATGCATGCATCATTAATATGCAACACCATAACTATGCAACCACCAGGCATAAACCTTCAACATTTGCCAATAAGGCCACCACCTCCTTATCATCATTAATATCAGTAATTAATTCATACAAAATCCCATGGTTAAATCCCAATTTCCATTACTACTAATCTCCCTATATTTACCTAAGTCATACTAGTCATTAAGAATCTGAGGAAACTACATTGCATGCTAAAACGGGATAGAAATTACGAAAACGAGAATTTTTGCACCTCAGCCTGCTCATACGTGTATGACCCTATCCCATACGCGTATGGTTTCTCTCTCTTCCCACCCATACGCGTATCAAATATGCATCCTGCTCCAGCACTCATGTCCCATACGCGTTTGACCAGAGACGTTTTTCTTCTCAAAATCCCCCCAAACTACCCATACGCGTACGACCATCCCATATGTGGTTTGCCTCCTCTTCGTACACATATCATATGCGTAACGGCGGAAGGTCGTGCTGGCACTGGGGAGAGGGCACATTCCATGTGAGGATGGCTCCTAGGCATGCCCCTACACCTGTATGATACGAGTATGGCCCGTCTGCTACATCAAAACTTCTGCTATCGCACCAGAATGATTTCCACTCGTTTTGAACACTTCCATCTCCTATTTTGGGTACAAAATAGTGTTTTTACACATAATACTTCATAGATTTCATCTAATTTTGTTATTCTACAATTTTAAAACAATTTCTACCTCTAACTCTCCAATCTTTGTCATAATCCTAGATCTATAACTTTTCAGATTTGGGATTTCATGGGTAATACAACAACAGTAAAATCAACAACAGCAACACATTCATGGCATCATGGGATTCACTAATTTCACATACAATCACATAGAAATAATAGAAAATTAATTAAAGAAGAACATTCATCAATTATTCATGAAACTTAAAGAGAAGAAGGAACCTTCACTACCCTCCCATGCTATAATCACCATTTAGAGAATCCATTCACCCCCTTACCTTAATTTGCAGCCTTGAATCTTCAGCAATGGAGAAATCTCTCTTGCCCTAGTTTTCCCTTCTCTTCTCTTCTCTGTTTTCACATTACAGTAATTTTCCCAATTGTTCTAACCCTCTCCTAATTATATTTTATTATCACTAATACTAACTAATAATAATAATATTAATAATATTAATAATAACTATACTATTAATAATAATAATAGGATTATCCTTCAATTTCCATTATTATCAATATTTCATCATATGCTAAGCTTATCCTAATTATTTAATTAAGACTAAGCTCTCACGCACTCTTAGCTATGCCAACATAATTTAAATTCAACAAATAATGAGTGAATATTTAAATGGGGCGTTACACAATACAATATAGAAGATTGATTGGATCATTGTGTTTCTTGTACAATACGCGGCTAAATTTGGTGTTTAGTATCGGTATTGCAAGTAGACTCATGGAGAGACCGAAGGTGTCTCATTTGACAGTAGTTAAGAGGATCCTAAGATAGGTCAAAGAAACTCTTGGCTGCAGAATTATCTTTCCTACAGAAGATACGGGGTGAAAATGCGAGTTACTTGGTTATACTGATTCCAATTGGTGCAGAGATAAAGTTGATTGAAAGTCTATGGGTGGTTATGTCTTTATGTTCAGAGGAGCACCAATCTCTCATGTCCTAAAAAGGAACCGGTGGTTGCACTCACTTCTTGTGAGGCCGAGTATATTATTGTGTCGTCATGTGTGTATCAGACTTTGGCTTATGAGTTTGTTGGCTGAGTTTGGCAGTAATGTAGGAGAAGCTATCACACTCTTCATTGATAACGTTCCAGCCATCAACCTTGCTAAGAACCTCATTGCACATGGGAGGAGCAAGCATATTGAGATGAGGTTTCATTACTTGAGGGATCTGGTTAGTGAAGGCAAGCTGAGATTGAGTTATTGTCGAAGCGAGGAACAAGTTGCGGATTTGTTAACGAAAGGTATAACAAATGTGGTGTTCAAAAAGCTAGTGATGAGCTTGGACATGAAGAACTTGGAGCATTTGAATTAAGGTGGTGTATTGGAATTCCTTAGTAATTCAAATGCTTGCAGAAGCTTCTGGGAGCGTTACGTTGGAAACAACTTAAAAAATAAGCACTTTTAGAAACAGAAAAAGCAAAATATCGAAGAGGAAAATTTCCACAGCTAATTTCTGTCTTCTGGTTTTTTTTGTCTTTTTCTATGTTTTGTAGTGGAAATTGATTACACCCTTTGGTGAAATCGATTTCCAACATGTGTTTTGCGCTTTTTGACTTGTTTTTGAGTCTGTTTTGTTTCCAATGTAATTTTGTATCCATTATAAATACTCTCTCGTGTAATATTCTAAAAATTAATGTCATTTTAAATATTTCTTCTCAATTATTCTCTCTCTTTTATTTTTCCTTAATTTCACTTCATCTTCTCTAATTATCCACCATCCTCCATTCATTCATCATTCAAACTTTATATTTGTTCCAATATAAAATTAAATTTACTATATCAATTAAACAATGTGTTTTACTTTCTTTATATAGACTGTCTTGAATTTATGCTAACTCCGCCACAACATTATCATGGACAAATAGAAAAGTGAGCACTAAATACTAATATCATAATCGAGTTCATTTTGAATTCTTATGATTAAGACCGCAGCCAAAAAGCTCACCTAAACTGGGTCACAAAATAAGTTCCAAATATCAAAATGCGAGAGCGAGACCTTTACTAAAAGCACTCACTTTCCGGCTATTACGTTTTCTTAGTGCTTAAACATCCTACGTGGCACATACATAGTTTGATATCACTATATCATTGTTGATACACATTCACAATCCAAACCCTAATGAATACACATACATGTATTGGACAAAGTATAAACCATGTAAAACTCCAAGACTTAAAGAAGAAGCAATGAAAAAAGTGAGTGCTCTCTTGAGCTCACCTTTTAGGATTTTTCTCAAACATTGTCTTGTCGCATATCAAAAGCATGCACATTTAAAAATCTTGAAAACATCAAATGTGACTCAACTTTAGCTTCCACACACCACCTTTAATTGCAAATACCTATTAAATATAATAATATTGACCCTACATAACTATTACTCAATTTTAAAATACTTCTTTTCTAATTGGCTTTTACTCATTCTTACAAAATTGACTGTGAATACAAATAATAGATATCTAGATAGTAAAAAATTTGCAATAAATAATTTGGTCTTGAAGAAACTTTGTTAACATCTTAAAATTTTAAATTTTGTCTAACTTAATTTTTAAAAATTAATTTATAAAATAAAAATTGTCTTTATTTATAAATATATTTTTAATCACATCTTATTTAATATAGGATTTGTAATATGTTGATGAATAATATATACGAAATTTGTCAATATATTCACAAAAATAATAATTGTCTCGGGTTGATTTATTACTTAAGAATCGAGATTAAATATATTTTATATATAATATTTACACACTTCAATTCAATTAAATTTTTTTAATAATAAAATTATGATGGTTCTCACATTTAAATAGATTTTTCATAGTCACAATTACACAAACTTAATGTTAACAAGAATAGTAATTACTTACTTGAATAATTTATAATTTTTTATTACAAAAGAAAAGTTATTTTCTCTCCACTTTCTTTAACCCATGGCCCTATTTAGAATAAATAAACATTTCATCTCTTATCTCTTCTCTTCATAACTTTGTGTCATTGAAGTGCCTTTTTTTTCCCACCAATTCAAAAATGATATCCAACAACATATCCTCACCCTCACCCTCAAACCAAACCAACATTCAAATCTCTCCAGAACAAACTACCATCTCAAAAACACCCAAAAACTATCTTCCCTTCAGAACAAGATCATCAAGAAAGCTAGCAATTCTCAAAGTTGATGAACATCAAAAAACCAAACCAATAGTATGGTTTGCCGCAATACTATGTTTTATTTTCAGCCTCATGTTAATCTTCTTTGGCATAGCAACATTAATTTGCTACCTAGCCCTAAAACCAAGTAACCCTTCATTTGATATTCCAAATGCAAGCTTAAACCTAGTATATTTCGACTCAAAACCCTATCTCAATGGTGAGTTCACACTTCTCACAAATTTCTCAAACCCTAATAGAAGAGTTCATGTGAAGTTTGAGTCTTTACATATTGAACTTTTCTTCACAAATAGACTCATATCATCCCAATCGATTAATCCTTTCACTCAAAAGCCAAGAGAAACTAGGTTGCAAGCAGTGAAGTTTATGTCAAGTTTGCTTTTTGTGGCACAAGAGGTGGGTGTGAAACTTGTAGAGGAGGTGCAAAGTAGTAATAGGTTGAGTTATCATGCAAAGGGAACATTTAAGGTGAAGGTTAAAATGGGAATTATACATTTGTCTTTCTGGCTTCATAGTTTTTGTCAGATGGAGATGACTGGTCCACCTGCTGGTTCTCTTGTTGCTAGACAATGTGTAACAACTCGATGAAGATGGAGGTTTTTTTCTTTAATGTTTGGTTTTTTTTTTATTTAGCTTTTATAATATTTTGATGTATAGTAAATTAATTAGAGTGTGCAAAAGAGTGATATATGATTCATCTCAAACTGAAAAAAAAAATTAATCGATACTATTTGATATTTTCTATTATTTTTCAATTGTTGATAGAAATTTAAGGGTATAGGATGTTCAAGCTCTTCAATTTTAAGAATGTTCATAAAATATTTAACTTTTAATTTAATTCAATTAAAATAATTATTTTTTAAATTTAATATATATGATAACACAATTTTTTAAATTAAAAATTTATATTAATGATCATGTTTACAATAATTCAAAAAAAAAAATTAATTAACACAATAGAGAATGTGAAATTAAATTATTGATCAATTTTTTAAAAAATAAAGATAAAACGGTTATGTCTCCAGATCAGATATATTGTACTTTTTTTTAGCTTTTCGACTTTTATAATCAGATTTGAATATTTTTAGTACTCGTTTATTGAAATTTTTGCTTAAAAAAAAAAAAAAAAAAAAGAAGCAATAACTTCATGAATAAGAATTTGACTTAAGTGTTGTGTACCAACTCACCTTTAACAGTTACTTAGTTAGCATTTTGTTTTTTTTTTTTTCTTTTATCAGTTCCACTTAGTAGAAATCTTTTTGACTGTTTAAAATAGATAAAGCCAAAGGGACAAATAATTGATTATTGACGTGGTATCAACTAGGATCTCGAAAGTAACAAATCATTGTGAGCCTAACATCCCAAAATCACGTTTTAATCCAGAATCTTCAAAATTGCGTTTTTAAGTTGCTCAATATTTTGACTATTTTCTTACAAAAATGTTTATTAATTTACATACTATTAATGTATAAGGTGATGAAGAGAAAAAAAATTTATAAGAAAGAAGAGAATGACGGCCGTAAAATTAGAAAAAAAATGGTTGTAGTTGTGATATTTATAACTAAACTATTTATTCACAAATAAATTCTTACATGGACTTTAATAAAATAAATTTAATAGCTAAGTTATTAAAGTAATTAGAAATATTAAATTATTCTTCAATACCATCCCTTAATTTAGAATTTCCTAATCAAAACTAACAACACCAATTTCATTCTTTACGCGGAGAAATTGATCTGTCTTGATCGTCTTTGTCAGAAAATATCTGTCAGTTGCTTCTGGGTGCTACAGTGCACAACTTTTAGTATTTCATTATGGACTTGGTTTCTCAGAAAATAATACTTTGTCTCAATATGTTTGTTTATCCCATGTAGTACTGAGTTCTTGACAAGATTCATTGCAGACTTGTTATCAATCCTCAGCTTCAGAGGCTTATCTATCTTGATCTTCAGATCTTGCAATAGATTCAGAAGCCACACAACTTGACATGCAGCTACAACACATGCAATTTACTCAGCTTCACACGTTGATAGAGCAACAATGGATTGCTTCTTGGAACACTAAGAAATATGACCTCCCAAAAACTTAAACAAGTATCTAAAAGTAATTCTTCTATCAACTCTATCTCCACACCAATTAGAACCAGAGTAACTCATCAACTCTGAGTCTATCTTTCTTCCAGAAGAGAATAATACTCCATACTTCAGAGTTCTCTTGATATACCTCAAAATCCTGACAGCAGCTTGGTAATGGGACCACTTAGGTTTACTCATGAACCTACTAACCATTCTAACTACATAGCAAATATCAGGTCTGGTATTACACAAATATTTTAGAGAACCAACTAACTGTTTGAAGATTGTAGCATCCACATCCTCACCCTCAGAATTCGAATCCAATTTATGATTGCTTCTAAAGGTGTGACAGTAGTCTTACAATTCTGCAGCTTAAATCTCTTCAGAAGTTCAAGTTCATACTTCAGCTGATGCAAAATGATACCCTTCTCCGAGTATAGAATCTCCATCCCTAGAAAATATATCATATTTCTCATATCAGTCATCTCAAACTCATTCATCAACACCTCTTTGAACTTGATTATACTTTATGGACAACTTTCCGTTAGCAATATGTCATCAACATATTGCCTCCAGAATGTTTCACATAAACTCCATATTTCATTTCACACTTCTGAAAACCTTGCTTCTTGAAAAATGAATCAATCTTCAAATTCCAAGCTCTGGGCGCTTACTTCAATCCATACAAAGCTTTATGTAACTTGTACATCATCCTTTCCTGATTCTTTTTCACAAATCCAGGAGGTTATGACACGTATGCCTCTTCTTGTAATAGACCGTTCAGAAATGTAGACTTCACATCCAGATGCATTAAAGGTCAATTTCTATTTTCAGCTAAAGCAATCATCAGTCTGATTGTTTCGTATCTAGCTACAGGCGCAAACACCTCAAAGTAATCTAGCCCGGGTTTCTAAAGAAAACCTCTAGCCACTAGCCTTGCTTTGTACTTGCCAATTGATCCATCTGGCTTAAGTTTTATCTTGAAAATTCATATGACGCTGATGACTTTCTTCTTATCTAGAAGCTTAGTCATCTTCCAAGTCTTGTTTCTTTCTATAGCCTCAAGTTCTTCTTTCATGTCATTAAGTCATACTTTCTTCTTGAGAGATTCTTCAATACTCACGGATTTAAAATCTACTAACATGACACACTGAACAATTTATCCTTCTGAATCTATTTCAGTGTCTTGTAACATGTCAAACTCTACAAACCTTCTTGGTATTTGTCTGACTCTTTGTGGCCTATGAACTTGTTCAAAAACTCTTTCTGATTCTGGAACAATATTAGATACTTGACCACCTTCAGAAGTTGGGTCGTCTTCAAAACCTCTACCTTCTGAAGTTCCACCTTCAGAATCATGACCTCCACCAGAGACTGAACTAACTTCAGAAGCTCCTCCTTCAGAAGGTCCACCTTTAAAGACATGATTTTCACCAGAAACATGATCATCTTCAGAGGCGTGTCCTCTGGAACCTACGTCTTCAGAGTTTTCCCTTCCAAAAGCATGACCACCACCAGATTTTGGATCATCAGCAAAATCTGGATTAGAATCAGATTCACCATCTGACTCATGTTCAAAATTTCCATAATCATCATCTGACTCTGACACTTCTTCAAAACTTTCAAGTTCTGAATCATCTTCAGAAATAGATTGAGACTTGCTCCAATCTCATGCTTTTGATTCTTTTACAATGACGTCTCTACTGACTTCAAATCTATTAATTTCTGGACAATAAAGCTTGCATGCACATGTACTGTGGTACCCCACCAGAATCATTACTTTGCTTCTATCATCCAGCTTCTTTCTTCTAGCTTCTGGAACGTGTTTGTAACATACAGAACCAAACACCTTCATATGGCTAACACCTTGTTTGTCTCCAGTCCACTTTTCTCAAGGAACAATTTCCTTCAGCTTCTTTGTTGGACACATGTTGAGCACATACGTTGAAGTGGCTACAGCTTCTCTCCACAAGTTATGAGGTAGCTTCTCTCCACAAGGTATGAGGTAGCTTCTTCTCTTTCAGCGTGCTTCTCATCATATCAAGCAAAGTACAATTTCTTTTTTCAGCAAGACCATTGTGTTAAGGATTATAAGGAGCAGTAACCTCATGCTCAATTCCATTCTCCTCACAGAACTTCTAGAATTTTGTAGAGTTATACTCACCTCCACCATCCGTTCTGAGAATCTTTAACTTCTGACCACTTTGTTTCTCAATCTTCACCTTGAATACTTCTGGAACTCGATAAACACCTCATGTTTAAACTTTATGAGTTTTACCCATGTCATTCTTGTGAACTCATCCAGGAAAGATACAAAATACCTATTTCTTCCAAGTGAAGGTTCTGGAAATGGTCCACACACGTTAGAATTCACTACTCCCAAAGCATGTTTTGCTCTTAGGGCTACTTCTGACACAAATGGTAATCTGGGTTGCTTTCCTTTCATGTATACCTCACATGACTTCTCAGGCTTCACAATCTTCAGAATGATATGCATGAGATTCTTAGAAATCAGATACCCTAAACTCCTTTAATTCAGATGCCCCAACCTCTTCTGCCACAACTTACTATCACCTTCAATGCCTTCTGCACTAATACACTTTGTTTCAGCTGTTTCTACATTCACCTTGAATGTTCTGTTGCTTACCTGCTCAGATTGCATAATTAGCTTCTGATTGGAATCATACAACTTCAAAATATTGTTCTTCATAATAACTGAGAAACCTTTCTCAATGAGCTGACCCACACTCATCAGATTACTCTTAATTCCATGGATATACCAAACACCCTTGATCAAATCGGTCTTCCCATTCTTCACTTTAACTTTGACATTTCCCATACCTTCTGCATTAAGGTATTTATCATTATCACATCTGATTTTTGTCCTCCTTCTGGAGTCAAAATCTATTAGCCATTATTTGTTTCCAGTCAAGTGATTTGAACAGCTAGTTTCCATATACCATCAGTCTGCCAAACACTTTCCATCAAACTCAGAATCCATCAATAACACAAGTTCATCATCAAAATCTCCTCTAGCTATATTTGCTTCTTTTGATTTCATCCCTTCTTTGATCAGCAATCTTTAGCAAAATGGCCAAACTGCTTACAACAGTAACATTAAACCTTCTTCTTGTCAAACTTCTCATTTCCCTTCTGATGTTTCTTCTCATCAAAATTAGAGGTTTCTGACTTCTGGAATCTATCACCACATCTATTCTTGGTTTCTGACCAAGAATGCTTTTGGTCCTTCTTAACAAAAGAAGCCTTCAGAGCCTGCTCAACTTCCCTCTTAAAAGTTCTTTCAGTCAGACGCAACTCTTGTGCCTCTAGACTGCTTTGCAGCTCTTCTATTCTCATGGTGTCCAGATCTTTAGAATGTTCAATTGCTACAACAATGTAATCAAATTGAGGAGTAAGAAACCTCGATATCTTCTCAATGATTACTTGTTCAGAAAGGGTTTCTCCACAAGCTTTCATCTCATTAGTGATCAGAATCACTCTGGAGATGTACTC